ATTTTCTGAGGATTTTCTTTTGTTCTAAAAATGCACATGCCCAGTTAGCCAGTTGACCAATTTTAGATAACCTACTTCTCAAAAACCACTAGCCAATATATGTACAATTGGCTCAAAGTTTTTGGAAAGTCTTCAAAAATTATTCTGCCTAAGAAACCACACCAATCTGGTGGTCAAGTTGTTTTATATAAACAACTTAATCCTTTAGAGATCTTTTTTCTTTTTTTTTATTTTGACCAATGAATTTATTTTCAACATTTTTGTCCAATTTTAGCAAATATAGCAGATAGATATAAGACTATACACAGTTGTACTAAGTTATCTGTAAGTTAATATTCAGGTTTGATGTCTTTAAAAACCCTCAACCTATCTAATTTGTTAAAACTAAATAATTTGCTTAATTAGTTCGGGTTTTTTTTTCCACATTTAATTCCCGTCATTAAATGCAATCAAACCTTGAGTTTTTCTTGTCCTTTACAATAGAACGAGGCATTTTTATATTTAACTCTGTTCATTGAAAACTGACAAGCCTCCTTGGGACTCTACTCACCTGATACAAGTAGGTCAACACTGTCTATCCAAGGTCTGTATGGAAAGTATTCAATTGTGTGGCTTTGATATAACTTGTCAAATAGGATCTTAGTGTGTTTGAATGAACAGATACTCTTCTGTAGAGTTACTCAGTCAGCGGGGATACCCTGTTGAATAAGTTTGTATATTATTACTTGCATTTACAGCAAATTATATATTAAAATATATTTGCATTCATCTGTGAAAACTATTCACATTATTAAGTAGGAGTTTAGGAATGATTTAATGAGTGAAACATAAAATTTTGGTAGTGGTAGACTAAGAACCTGTTGAAAGGGATTCATAATCTGGTAATGTGAGAATTAGAAAATCTCCAGATTCCATGGACAATATATTTTGAATATCTTGACTGCCCATTCTTCACATCCTGTGCAAGGTTTTTTTGACAAATTATGTCACTTTCTCAGCACATATCACTAGGCTAGTCTCCTTGTTTTAAATGAAAATATTGTTCTCTATTTTTTTTCTACCTATAAATCAAACACAGCTATGGATTAAATAGCAAAAGAAACTGGGTTCTCTAGTTTTGTGTGCCAACCAGTCTAAGAAAGAAAACTCTGAATTTCAAACTGTGGCAAAGGTAACAGGAAACCACTCTGCTCTCTTTCCTAAAAATTCATGACAGTTTATAGATAATAATGAAAAGGCATCTGTGGAGAGTCATGATCACCCTACACTTTGAAGGGACATGCCATTAAAAAAATAGAAGTCAATTATAACTTTATTTTCTTAACAAATTATACCTTATGGTTTTTTTTTTGGGGGGGGGGGTTCTTGCCACAAAATAAATGTATGAGGTCCTAAGGTAAGTATTTTGAAAAGGAATAAAATCAATTGCTCTAAGTAGGCTCCTTTTGTCATTATTAAATGTATGGATCATTTTTGGCTAAACCTTGTAATTGGACAGTTAATTTTAGAGTGATTATTTTTTAAGTACAAGATTTTTTTTTTTTTAGATATTTTTCTGGAGAAATTTACTTTTAAGAAAACAACCTGACAATTTTTATATGAATTCATCAAATGTAATTTCTAGATTTTCTCAATAGTGTTCTCCACTCCTACCAATTCATTAATTTTCTGTATAGAAAAAATCTAAATGGAAATGAAAGAAAATTAATTCAGAAAATTATAACATTAAATATTTATCAGATATATTAATAATAAAGTTTAATATCAATACTTTTGCTTCCCCTATTCTATTCCATGTGTACAAAATCTAGTTTTAGGTAACACTTTTAAAAGAAGTAAATAAAAGTTAACATCTTTTTTATTTAATTAATGTTTTTGAACTTAAATATGGAACTAGTTTTTAATAATCTTTTTTAGCTACTTACTTTTTCCTTTCAAAAATCAACTCTAGTAATTTGATGAAGATGAAATAATTGCAAGCAATTTTCTTGTCTAAGATTAATGCAAATTTCCTTTCAATTTTCTATTATCTCTTAGTAATTTCCTGCCACATGGAAGACAGATTTCCTCTTAAGTTTGTTGTTTCTTTTTTCTTTTAAACTAGATTCTCATTCTTATTCAATATTTTCAATGATTCCTAGCATTGCTTAAGTCCTTCCCTTGTTTTTCTTTCAGATTTATGTAGGTTGCCTCAGTAAAATTATCATAATTGAAACAATTTGAAGGGTTTAAACATTTTTATAGTTGTTTATTTTATATACAGCATATTATCATAATTTGTTAGATTTTCAAAATTTGCTATTAAAAATAACCAAATTGCTTACACATACATTTATACCTTTTCTTAAGCTTAATGTTTAAATGGTTACTGCTTGCAGGGCAGAAAATAGGTTTATTTGAATAACTAAGCAACTTAATTATAAAAGTTATCAACAAAATACTCTTATCTGTAAAGATTAAATTAGAATTGAATGGCAACAGTTGTTTTTTGTTTTTAATTGTATATGCAAATAAATGATAAAATGGTGTTATTTGATATCCGTTTTATATTTGCTCACACATCAACAAACAACTTTATATTTAATTTTTTAGATTTTGTGCATCTGCATGTATGTTAGCTTTACTCACTTAAATCAGTTAAGGAGATAAATCTCAGCTAGAAATTAACTAGTTCTAGCTGGTTTTAAATAAAGTGTTTCAATACCTAAACTGTAGAGGCATACTCAACTTTCTTGTCAAGAAATCAATTTAATTAGTAATGTGATGATGTATTCATGTTTACTAAGGATTGAAATGTTTTTTCAGTAATTTTTTTTTTTTTTCTTTTTTTTAACAATTCCAAACAATAGCATATCGGGGCAGCAAAATCACAAGACAAGTGCTGCACTATTATAATAGGAGTTTAAAAATTCCTCACTCCCTTAAATCAATTGTAAGGCAAAACTTAACACTGAAGTTGATTTGGTTTAGCCAATTTTAATACTGAAACTGTAAAGCAGACTGCAGCCCCTTTAGACCTTCTGAATGGCATGCCTACTTTAATGAGGAAAGTAGTGTTTATTAAAATTTGGGGTTTTGTTTCATTCTCACTTGTTCACTCACATTCTCTTTCACACAAAGTGGGTGAGAGAAGTGGGTGTCAAAGGGAAATAACTATTAAATGCCTGAGTAACCCACCTTTCTTATCAATGCCTATTGCATTGTGTGTACAGTTCAACTAAACTACGTATATAACAATTATTAAGTATGATATTTCTTGAATTTTGTAGCCTTTCATTGAAGGTAAGGTTCTCAGCATTTTAAACCATTGGCAATTTTCATTAAGGAAGACCATACATGTAAAAATAGTTTGCTTTAGAAATGAAACATGCATAGCAATTTTTTCTTTTTAAGTTTTTTATATTTTCAAATGAATAAATTAGAAACAAATCACACCCACCAACATGAGTTAATCACAGTTGTTATCAGTGATGATGATATACAAAATCTTCAATTTTTATATTGTAGAAAAGATCTTTTCTCCAAATAAAAAAAAAAATTCTTTTCCTTATTTTGAAGGCAGATGTTTACGCCTATGTAGTGAAAATGACAACTTTGCTTTCAATGAAAAATTACTTTGAATTTTTTTAATAGTGCAATCTGCTTTATGATGAGCCATATCTCATGCACTGATCAGAAAAGTTTGCCCATGCCATCTGTAGAGCAAGTCTCAACCCTTTATATATATATATATCTCCTCCTTAGGTTTACCCATACAGATTACCTAGTTTTTCATAAACTATATATATATATATATATATATATATATATATATATATATATGTGTGTGTGTTTTTAAAAAAAAAACACTATTCAACTTTGCTTGGTCAACACTGTAGCCAAAAGGTCATGGCACGACACATGAGATGTTAATTTTAATAAAACTTGTATATAACACATTTACACAAGAATGCGGTCTGCACTAAAATAAATTTATAATTGTGCAATTATGTTAAATAGAATCTGGAATAGGAATTAATTGGTTTCATTTAGATTTTTGCTTTCTCGTTCTTTAATCTATGGAGATATCAACAACCTTATTGAGTTATTTCTTAAGACTTGGTAATACACAGAATCTTAACATGGATTAATCATAGAATTCTTTTTGTCTTGTACTTGAATTCTTCATTAAAATTAATTAGTCTGTCTATACTTGGCTATTTTACTAGATTATTTATTTGTCAATTATACTGAATGTTTATTGTGAATGGTTTGAAGAGGTTTGTAGTAATAAGTAATAAGTTACTACTGGAATTGGAAATATTTTGACTTCAAAATTACTGACATCTTGCTTAATCTTGGACTTAAATCAACTAGTACAAACTTTCCATGTTAAATCCAAATGAAAAGTGAAAGTGTTTTTTTTTTTTTTTTTCTTCAATGATTTAAATGTTTTATTTCATACTAAGTCCTCTTGTTTATAAAAGTTATTTATTAGTCTGTAGTGGTTACATTTTCCCCAATGTTAAACATGAGACATATGGAATAGCATAATCAGCTAGATTGTACTTCAATATTGGCATATTTTACTTTCTTTATCTCTAACATTTAAACACCATAACTTTTCATCTGTTGTGTGTGTGTGATTTTTTTTTTCTCCATTTCCTCCTTGTATATTTCCCTTTCCTTTTCAAACATAATTATCAACCACCTCTTCATCACAGTCAATCTATAAGCGTTTAAAACAATACCTCTGATTAAATATACTCTCTGCTACATAGTGTCAAATCAAGAAGCCTATTATAATCTAGCTCTTCTATTTGCTATCTGTTTTTAACTAACAATTGTGGCTCATATGGTAATGAGTCTGTTAACTAATAATAGTATAAACTTGATAGCTTCAAAGAGGTTATAGGTAGATGTCCTGGTTAAGTCATTTATTTTGTTTAAAAAAATATTGCAAAATATGTTCATTATGTTCACTTTTTTATTTGCAAACTTTTTTTTTTTTTTTTTTGCAGGTATCAGTGACAGTATGGCAAACAATGGTGACCAGTATTTTAATGCGACGTTCAGATCTGTTTGTCATATGACAGAGTTCTCACCATTGTTGATGGTAAGTATTTCCTTGCTGCTAAGATTTGTTTAATTTTAATTATGATTCAAACATTTTTTTAAAATTATTTCACACCTAGCAAGGCATTAAAGCCACTAAGATGCAAAAGAGTTACTGAGTTTGAATGAATATGAGAAAAAGAATAACATTAAAGTGAAAACAATAAAAGAACAGGGGTTAAGAAGACAAAGGTTACTGATTGTCACTACATTTAAATTTTTGATCATCAAAGTTGACTGGAAAGTAAGAAGCCAGAAGAGATGTTCCACAAGCTATGGTTATATATAGCAATTTCAACTGTAAAATGAGGAAACCTGGCTGCCAAAGTACCATGTTTAAATTTGTAAAGTTAAGGTAGCAAAGTATATTATCAGTAAAATTACCATGAAAATTCTTATAGAAAAGGTACAGATGTTATGTTACACTGGCGAGAACATAACTGAAGCTGATATGCCAGGTCAGGACCAATAATATTGCAGATCCTTTCCTTAAAAAAAGGAATGTGATCTTCTTCATGGCTAAGTGGTAAAGCACACTGGATCAAATAGTGGTTTCCCTCTACAAAGGGGATGCAGGTTCAGTTCCTGCCAGAGAAGACATTTTCTTTCCTAAGATTTCCCGAATGCACAGGCCAATAAATGATAGACATAATTCAAACTGTTTGATAATTAAAAATTGAATATCTATTTCAAATACAAAGTATCCGCTATAATAACATTTGAAGTTATATATATATATATATATATATATATATATTATAAATTATTATAATTATAAATTAACTGATTTAAAATATGGTCTCTTCGCTACACAGTAATAACCATGTTTCAAAAGCTGAAGCTAAAAACTTCAAATTTAATTATATAATTAAATTAAAAGCATTATTTCTATTTCATCTTCAAGCAAATTTTGGAATAACTTATTTTTAAATTTACTGAGTTTTAAATGCACATAAGTCATAATTTCTTGTTTCCTAGGATACAGAGAAATCCAATCATTCAGACAGGGGCAGTAGCGTGTTCATTTTTATTAACTACTGTTGTATCAATTATGAGTTACGTTCGAAAAAGAGGGAGGGTAGGGGTTCATTTTTCAACGAATTTTGGCATCCATTAAACACGTGTTTTTTTTTTGTTTTTTTTTTAATTATTAATAACAAAAAAGGTTTTCGGCATTTTTTCTGTTAAATTCATACTTGTATACTTAAAGTTTCTTTCTAAAAGGGGTGTTTGGGTTAGAATACGTTATATTTAACTACAATTTTAAAATATTATTTTTACTTTTAATTACTAATAGACTATATTTCTTTTTAAATCAAGTAAATGTAATAGGATTACTTTAAATTATTTAAAAATTATTACATATCAAATATAAGTATGTATATTACCAGCTCCCTTTTTTCTTTCTTTTTTTCTTTTTTTTTTTTTTTTTTTTTAAATATTTAAGGAAAATTTTTGACAATGTCAGCAAAGAATAGCTATTTCATTTCTTTGATTCATTAAATTTTTATTTTTTATAAACTTAGTAATATATAGTTTCTCATGTATGCACAAAGGACATTGGTCATTTAATGACCTATATATTCTAAAAATCTTATTAATTTCCATTTTATTGTAGGTGTTTTATTGGTTTAAGTCCTCTGTAAATTTACATTGAGCACTGTTTTGTATAAAAGTAAAAAAATACCAATAAGAACACCAGATTATATATCTTACTGTTCTTTCTTTTTATTATATATATATATATATATATATATATATATATGATTTTTATTATAAGAGATTATAATAAAAACAATTTAACTTGCTACACAAAAGCTTTCATGTTTCAATACTATGATTGTACTGAAACATGAAAGCTTTTGTGTAGCGATTTAAAATGTTTTTATAATTTCTTTATAATAAAAAATATAATAATATTTTGCTCTAGTTTGTATTGAGCACTTTTTAAAAAGTAAATACTACAAACTGGATTTTTATTCCATTTGTTCTTTCTCTCATTTTGATTATATTAAGCTTTATTTAGGTAACAATAATTCTCTCAAACATGTTTGGTTAAATAATATGGTTAAGTTCTGTCTATCAATTTTTTTTTTTTTAAATTAAATTTATGGATTAGGTGTTTTGTGTTATTGGTAAATTTGTCAAAGTTCATATTGGGAAATTTGAAAAAAATAAATAAATAAAAATTGAAAGAACTTGTCTCCCTCCACACACACACACACACACACACACACACGTGTAAATTATTTTCAGATAGTGTCTCTGTAAATGAATGAAAAACTATTCTTAGGTAACGAATTTCATCCTCTGAGGTACTTTATAAAGGCAATGTAGGGCTTATTTTATTGACCATGTTTATATACATAAGCAAGGATGTCATTGGTTTATCAATGCATTTATACTTTTAAATTTGAGAATGTTCATTGTGGTTGAAAGATCAGTCAAAACATGTGGAGGACATTTTTTTTTTTTTTTTAAATATTGTTTAAATTGTGATTAGATTGTTATGGGATGAATGTATGTGCTGTATATTTTCGAAAACATGAAGTAATGGATTTAACTGTTTTCTTATGATTTTTTTCAACATATTTGTGGTTATGTATGTTCGCTTGGGAAAGTAGTAATTCTTTCAGGAAAGGTGAAATTGGAAAAAAAAAAAAAACAAGCCATAGATTTTGATGATTTGATAGTGGCACTCTTGAGAATTTTCCTTCTGAGTAAATTACTTTCTTTTTTAATGAGTGTGGCATTTTTTTAGATCAAAATTGTAGTTGAATTTATTTCTGTGTATTTGATAAATTGTTATGTACAAGGTGCATTTTTTGTTCTCAAATTTAAAAGCTTTGATAAACCAATAAAATCCTTGCTTTTGTATATAAATATGTGTAAAAAATACATTGCCTTGATAAAGTCCATCAGAGAACTAAATGCATTACTTAAGAATAATTTTTCCTCTTGTCTTTTTATATATATATATATATATATATATAATGATGTTGAAGAAATACAAAAATTTAATAAAGCAATTAGAAATTCAATAATGACAATAAGTCATTGTCAAGGTTAAACAAATACTACTGTAAAATATCCAAATTTGATAGTCTTGCCAAAATGCAAAAAGCAGGCATTCCAATAAGGACGATCATATCTGAAATTTATAGTGCTCTCTGTAGACTGGCAAAAGCTATAGTAAATAACATTTAACATATTCAAAATTTTAGCAACCTGGTCAGTTTATATGTCAATTCCTTATAATTCCAATAATATAATGAATCTTTTTTTTTTTTAAATAAAATAAAAATCTAGTACAATCAAAAAAATTAATTTCTCTCTACTGATTAATAAAATTATAAAGATTTGCTAACTCATTACAAACCAATGTTATTTCACTTTTTAAATAGTCAATGGGATCACCTCTCAGCAATGTTTTAGCTTGTCCTTTCTTTGAATTTCTAGAGATTGATCCCTTTCAAATATCTTAAAACAGTCAACATATTTCCAATATACTGATGATGCTTTATCTCCACAAACATTGAATCTACAATTGAATTTACTTATAAAACAGAAGCAAACAATACATTATCTTTCCTCAGTATTATACTGAACCATACTGATAATGATATTGCCTAATTTATATATCTGGACATTTTGTTTTAATAGCACAGCTTATTTGTAATTGGATTAACTTTTATATTTCATATTAAGTAATTTTTTATAATAATTTATTAGCCATAAGTGAATTAATTACTTCCTTTTATGACATGTGAATAGGAATTTGAAGATTATGGAAGATTCAATGTTGTGTAAATAAAGGAAGATAACTTCCTCTTACAGAAAGATTAACTACACAGCTCCATGAAAGTTATAAGACAAGTGTCATAATAGTGGATTTTCCTGTGTTGAAATGTGTAACAAAAAAAAAAAAATTTTGTCTCTCTCCTACTGTCATAGCGACAGGCACAGTCTCCACTTCTGAGATGAACTGCCCTCCTCCTCATTCCAGCCCTTTACATAGAGCTTGGTAACTCGCCCAAGCAAAACACCAACAAGCCAGCTACCAATCATGGTTTCCGTGCCTGCCCACTTTCACTCGCTTGGTGGGGGGGTGTCAAGTTGACAGACCAACTCATTACATTTCCCAATCAGTCAAGTTTAAACTTAAAAAGGGGTAAAATACTGTACTCTATTACTAATAAAACAAAAGAAAAAATGTATAAAAAATACCTTGAATATTTGAATCAAAGCTGCAGGACTAATGAATCTAAGATTAGTGATGTTCAAGTCTTAATAGATTGAGGAGAGATCAATGTATCATTGAATTTTGTGATTGCAGTTGCATTACTATTTTATTAACTAAAACAATTTTAAAGAAGTTGAAGAGTTAATATACCATAAACAAAATGATCAATTCAATGCAAACGGTCCTTTCCTTAGCTGCATGTATGTGCATTGGCAGCAAGGTCTCATCATTTTCCATTTGAAATGGCTATATGTAACTGTAAGTTCTATGCTAACAGTTTCTTCTCTCACACTTCTCACCTGTGGAACTCTCTTCTGGCTTCTTGCTACCCAGTGAACTTTGATCTTCAAAAATTTAAATGTAATGTCAATTGTTATTTTCTGTCTTGATTCTTGTTCCTTTATGTCTTGATTCTTGTTCCTTTATTGTTCTCTCATTAGTGTTGTTTTTTGGTTTTGTTATTTATATATATATATATATATATATATTCCCTAACACTCAGTAATTCCTTTCATTTTAGTGGCTTTAATGCCTTGCTTGGGGTGAAATTCATACATTTGACTTTGTTAGATAATAGTGTTGTACTGATTAATCAGCTTATTGATTATTGGACATGTCAGTATTTAACAATTAATCCGTCAATGGCTTCAACCACTCCAACTAATCAGTTTTCAAAAACAGTTACACTTGTTTATTGGATCACATTGACTTCATCCCTGGCTTAAGAAAATTCTGGTAGATTTCCATTTTTTTTTTTT